AACTATTTTATTTCACTTTTTTCCATATATGTAATACTCCTATATTGGCAGTAAGAGCTAGTACCGTCCGAAAACACTACAGTACAGATATATCAATAAACACGTATAAAAGAAAAGGAACACATTCGTTTATAAATAAACATGTGCACAACACATATACAAAAACGGCACTCAAGTACACAATACATTGACAAAAACGCTTTTTTGCTTTGCTTTTTTCACTAAAAATCTATATCTAAGGTGACGAATTTAGAATTGGTTCGGAACGATAGAAAATTGAATGGAGAACGAACTAGATCTTATCTGTCGAATTTAGAACTAGTTCGGAACTATCGAAAAAGGGGCTCGTTTACCTTACCAAGATATGTGTTTAGCAGCTTTTTTGTTCAAATACGTTTTCATTCTGCACTTCGCGGATGCTTTTTCATAGTTTAGTAATACAAAACAAAAATTTGTGTTAATATTTTAACATCTTGAGACCGTCTGAAATCTAATAGCGTTTTCTTTTCTCAAAATAATGTTGCATTTATTTTGTCCTACGCCAGGGCTGTCAAGTTTTCATGTTCTTTTCTCAGCATCTTCACATGCACATTGCGTGCTCTTTGTTTAAAATCCTGCACTCTGATAATGTTGCCATATAAGAAGGTGACATTTTTTTCGACAAAAGAAAACGGCATAACGAGTAACAGCGAGCACCTCTGCAAACTTAGGTACCAGTGATCATCATGCGGTGCCTTTTTCGAGACTTAAAGTGTACTCGCAAACGATGCGGTGTAAGTATGTTNCCGCCACCGCAAGCTCAAATAATGTCGTGTTTGAGTGTTTTGTGCTCGATCAAAGCGTCGTTACTGCATATTGTGGCACCGCATTTTCATGTCGGCTTCGGCTATGCGGTGGTATGAGCGGTCGTTTAAACATCGCAAACATCGCATTATTTCCGGATATGCTTGGCTGAATGCGGTGCACCGCATTATAAGAGCATATGTAGGTATCTGTGCAGCGCATTTTATCGCTACAGTTGCGTACAGAGTTTGTATGTAGGCATGTTACAAAAAAATTAATAAACATGAACAATTAGTCAAATTTAAATACACAAAATATGTAATATGTATTTTCTTTTAATTCAATTCATTTTTATTTCGTATAATGCGGTGCACCGCATTCAAACAAGCATATCCGTAAGTGATGCGATGTTTGCGTTGTTTAAACGACCGCTCATACCACCGCATAGCCGAAGCCGACATGAAAATGCGGTGCCACAATATGCAGTAACGACGCTTTGATCGAGCACAAAACACTCAAACACGACATTATTTGAGCTTGCGGTGGCGGTAGATTTCGTTACTAAGTATTATTGAGTTTGAGTGGTACAGTAAATGAATGTCGTTGCGGTGTATTCGAAATTGCGATACACCGCAACTGATCTCTGTTAGGTACAGACAAAGGTATGTAAACGAACATTTCTTACAAGCATTCAAACAAATTAAAAAAAAATTATGTGAAAGCAACTGTCTGATTTTTTTTCTGTCCAGTGGCTCAAAGTTTACAGACATTTATTTCATAAAGTTGCTAGCCTCTATTAGAATGTTCGTTCCCATAAAAACCTTTTGCCGTTCAAACATACTATGTACGTCACAAAATGGAGAACATTTAGCGAAATAGAAGGTACCATATATAATGTGCGCCGAAACACTCTGTAAAAAGTTGTTTCCTAACTGCGGTTGGCCCCGATAGGGCACTTGCAATGCTTCGATTGTAATTATGTTGTGAAAAATTTCTGTGTGATCCTTACACTTTAGACAAACAAAACATTTTAATCCCCTTAATACCTCAATATGTGGAGCTTTTTTAACCATATAGTTACCCCTGCAAGACAGTGACCATCATTTGACAAATCATTTGACTGGCAAGGCTGATAGAGATTTCTGTCACTGGCTACCTACAAGTTTCTATCACATTCTAAAGGGCAGTGTGAAAAATCTGATGTAAACATTTGTGTACATATGATCTTCCGTCTTCCTCCAACTTATGGCCTTATATATTGGTCTCTTTTTAACCAACGCAAAATTTGCAAATGTGTTAGTAAGATAAATGAGAATGTGTTAGTTTCCATCACACAATTCTTGTAGGGACCTTTTTGCAACAGCAAAGTAGAAGTTTTTCCTAATTATCTGTGGATGTCAAAGCTTACTTCTATGGTGAAGTTCTGTTTTTGAAGTTCTTTGAGTATCATTGTGTCGGGATCCAAACCGTTATAATCAGTTTATCCCTTTCCAAAAATGAATTGTTTTGTAATGATTTTCTTTCATTTTCTGTTTCTGTAGATGAAAGCGAAAAAATTTTTCACGGATTTTAAGCTTTTCTGCAATCTCGTATCCGTGTTTGACTTAACAATCTGTGTATATTTTATCATCAACTTAGGCTGGTCTCCTAATCTAAGAGCAGCTTTTATATCAAAATTACGAATGAGGAATCTCTTCAACCAAAAATTGCTCTTAATTTTTGTCTAGAGCATCATCACCTTAAGCATTCCTGACACGAGTCCTTTTCTGTTACGGAGTAAAACAGTAAAATTGGCAAAAAGGCACAGTTTTGTCTTCCACCTCCAAAACGCTAAATAACAAAACTCGGCGCATATCAATTGATTAAACTATTGCGTCTAAAACTTTGACACCAAATTAAATAATGGTGTACTTTTTTGAGGCATACTAGGTTCACATATAAGTAGATTATCCTCATTTTCGAGCTTAACACCCTAATCTGTAATTAGAACAAGAGATTAGCCATATAAAATTCGTCCCTTGTTAATCTCTAATTATAAAATAATCTCAGATTTAACCGATAGCTTTTCGGTGTCCATCCTACTTTCATCGATTGTTTTTGCGAAAAAGAGGAGAAATGCCAAATGTAAAAGTAAACAAAAATGGACGCTAGCAAGGAAAAGAGGTTTGTAAAGGTATTTTTAATAAAATGTTAAGTTAAAATATATTTATATTGCTTATTATAGCAGAAAAACTTGATCACGGCGGCACAGAGAAGAAACATAACTTTGCCTTGAGATGTGAGAATAACAAGCACAACAAATTTGACGGCTAATAATCTGAGATTTGCCTGTGTAAACGGGGTGATTAAAAAACCAGCTTTGATTGAGATAATATTGATATGTTAACACACTTTTAGGCGCAGTAGTTAAATCAAACGGATTGCGATGAGTTTTGTGATTGGCGTAGAAATAGGGCGGCTAATCAGCTGTTACATAAATAACGTATGGCACAAAGAAATTTTTGTTTTTTTATTATTGCGTCTTTAAGACCTAATTCAAAGTAAATTCAGTGTTACATTAATATTAAATGGGGGCGGTGGTGAAATAACAAACGGCAATAACGCAACTTTGTGTTATTTCCCAATTGAATGTGAAATTACACAAATTTGCTTTATTTCATTTCTCGTTGAGCAACAATACCAACTTTTAAACTTAACAATTGAGTAATAAAGCAAAATAGTGCACATAGGTAGTCCCCATTTACATTTGACAAAAGTAGTACATGAAAAGTTAAATGAACGGATTTGTAAGTATACAATTTTGAAAGTGCCCAGCGTCGCGGCCGCGACAAGTTACACGTCGCGCTCGCGTCCCCCGCTACCCGCCCCGCTTCCTTCTTTCTCAATTATGCACTGGTGGCATTATAACCGTTTAGAAAAAACAATAATAATAAAATGACACCAGTTCTTTTCTGAAACTGCTTTTTAATGTCCAAGTTATGGGAATTATTGGGTATAGTGTTATTGCGTGCACCCCACCCATGGTGGAATTATACCAGGTGAAGTAATATTAGAGTAAGAACAAAGATTTTCACACTGCCTTATTTGAAAATTTGCCTATAAAATGTGACTATAAGACAGCCGAAGGTCAGATGCGGCCGTGCGCGCATCCTGTGGCCGCAGCGGTGTGAAGTCCGAAAAATGATTAACGAGCGCGCACGGCCGCTTCCCATCATCGGGCCAAATGAGAGACCAGTCAGTTCAGCCAAAAACGTCGGACATCGCGCACGCGCCCTAGCATTTGATGATTCATACGAGAGTTAACTCTAAAGTTTTAATAAAAACGCTTTGTAAATTAACTTTAATTGTGGTGCACAAATAAACAGAAAAATATTTGAATTTCTTATCTGAAACAAAAACCTTTCCTTTAAGCGGAAACAAAGTGTTTAATGTGAACAAGGTGAGTGCGAAAGGCGACCACTGGAAATATTCATGGTCCTTCGCAGCCAACCGTGGCCCAGCGCCTAAGAAAAAAAAAAATAAATTTTAGAACTTAAAAATAAATAAATAAAAACTACAAAAAAAAAATCGGTTTTCGTACGTCCGCAAAAACAAACATATAAAAACAATGTTAAGAGTGGAAAAAAGATATTAACAAAAGTGCACGTGTATACATACATATACATATACACAACAAAAAAAAAAAACACAAGAAACGTGAAAAATAAAAATTGTTAAATTAACAAAACATATAAAATTTTCGAAAAAGAAGTGCGCAAACATGCGTTCGAAGTGCTACACACAAGTGAGCATATTCACAAAAGTGCAAACAATTTGAAAAACGTAATTTTGTTGCGCAAAATTTCAAAAATGTATATATATAACAAAACAAAAAAACTCGTTGGACAAACTACTTGCGACTAGTATAAAGGGAATCGAGCTACAGACATCAGCAGCAGCACCAGCGGGCATCAACAGCACCAGTAGCAATCATCAGCTACAACAACAACACCAGGCACAGGAGCAACCTTACATACATACACATATACATAAATCAAGGAAAGTAGTAAGTAGGCAAATTTTTAATTTCCTTAAAAATTGTAATAATATAACTTTCATATTCTTAAAAGTTATATTATGACTAATAAACTGCCAACGGGCATACATACGTATATACATACATATATATATATATATATATATATAATTAAATAAAAGGCGTATTTTTTCTCGCCAAAACCGGTTCTATTAAAATTGCGAATATTTTCCTGCCGCACAAAATTCCACAACGGCAATTTGCCGCTATTAAAATTTTGGTAGAAAAATTCCGTTTTCCGGAAAGCGGTATACCTCCACTTACCGCCAACCTTATATATATATAGGTATATGTACATATATGCAAAATGTATTATAAACCCCAAAATAAATTTCGTTGCAGTTTATATGCCTACTGTGTCCCACTGTGCAAGAACAAATATTAGCACATTAAAATCATATACTTTCCTCTGCTTACCAATTTTTGCCGTTGGTCGCATAGTTCGTTGAACTTGGCTTAACAAAGTGCCGAAAACATAAGTGCATTTTTCCACCTATACCATATGTACATACGTTCGCACATATAAGCATTTTTATAAGTTGCATTTTCTGCAACTTCGTATAATAGCTAAGAGAGTCGCTGTTGTTCATCGGACAATATTGTCCACACATACCAAACGCACGCTTATTTTCATATCTTTCTACCTCGCCTTTCTTTGCTGCACTCACCAAGCTAAGAGAACGTAAATCAAAGCCCGCTCTCCGACTTAAATACGTTCGGTACCAAGAACCCACCTCTGCGGTGAGCGGCTCTTTACGTATTCTTATATCCACTTGTGCATTCCCGCACACATACATACATACGCACTGTAATATAAAACAAACTCTCTGGGTTTTCGTACTTGTTCACCCACCACTGCGGTGACAAAGCGTAGCTTAGCCATATCTTCGGCTTCATATGTAAATATTTGCACATACATACCTACACTATAATCAACAAATTCTCTGTTGTTTTCGTTTCTTGACTCACCGCTGCTGTGGCAAAGCATAGCTTAGCCATATACTCGGCTTCATACGTAAATTTTTGTACATACCTACATACGTATATTTTTACATTCCACATATTCTGCACATTTGTACATGCGTGCTAACAAAGAATATCGTCACACGAATATTATCCATAACGCGATAAGAAGTGAGTTCAAGATATCAGATACATGCAACCCAGGAGGGAAAGCTCCCGAATTGCGTTGGTCTAGATACTTTTTCAGTATTTACATAATTATTTATATCACATTAAATATTTATACATACGTATATTTCACCACGTATATAACAGTGAAAACTGTTTGTGATTTTGTTTCTCTTACAAAACATTTTCTTTTTTCTCAAATCCATATTCCGCGGATTTAATTGGGACGCTCCGTTTTCCACGTTAAAAAGTGCTGAACCAAAGATTAAAGCAAATACAACTTCACGTAATTTGCAAGAAACAAAAACACAAACACCGCCACAAGATCTTATAATTTTTTCTTGATTTTCTGTGGCACAAAGTGCAATTTTTCCGTTTGACACAAATTTTCTTATTTTTTTGCGAACGATACCTGGGTGGTACTCAGCTATTTTTAATTAAATCTTTTATTAATTTATATACGTGTGAGCTTCTACGACATTCAAAATGCCACTTGGACACAGTCCACCAAAAATGTCTGAAATCGAGACAAGGTCAAAAAATGCTTCGCAAGAAGCCACCGGTGGTAAGAGGGAACCCTCACCGCGCCGAAAATCCAAAACTTTTGACCCATCCGCTCAAAAGTTTATAGCGGAAAGTGACAGTATCATGAGATACTGTGCAAAATTCAGTGATGCACCGATCCAAGACCACACTGAATCATATCTTATGATAAAAGACAAATCACTAGATGATTGTTGGGCACGGCTTCAGTCCGCCTATGATTTGGTTTTTTCAAAGCCAGATGACAGCCTACCCGAAAACTTTAAGAATTCGGTAGAATGCAAGTACTTCACTTGCCTTGAATTATATGAGGTGACCAAAGCTAAAATTGCCGATCAACTGTCGTTGATTAGAGCAATCGCCGCACCGAGTCCACCACCTCGCGTGGAACACACCTCGGCAGAGGCAAACGTTTTCCTCCAAGTCCCACCTTGTGACACGGAGACATTTTACGGCGGTTACGAAGAATGGCCCGCTTTTCGTGACATGTTCACAGCGGTGTACATCAACCTCCCGAAGCTCTCCCGTGCTCAAAAATTGTATCACATCCGATACAAAACCCAAGGTAAAGCTGGCTTCATCGTCAAGCAATATCCGCTCAGCGACGATAACTTCGAGCTGGCCTGGGAAGCTTTACGGTCATGATACGAAAACAAACGTATCCTGGTTGACAACCAAATTAAAATGTTGATTACTTTGCCGACTATTCAATCCGAGAATAGCGAGCAACTTCAAAGGCTGCAAACATCAATTAACAACTGTCTGTCAGTTCTTAATTCCCAAGACGTCCAGACAGACAGTTGGGATCCCATATTGGTGTACATATGCTCATCCAAATTGCCCGAAACCACACTGTCACTTTGGGAACAATCTCTCTCTTTTCGAAGAGATTTACCGTCATGGTCACAAATAGACGATTTTCTTACTTCAAGATACGAAGTAGTCGAAAGACTTAACCGGCTTCATCCAAGCCAAAATAAACAAAAACCAGTCGCTCATCAAAATGCTGCGCAAAACAGGTCCTTTAACAGGACTCAAACCTTTGTGGCAGAACCTAAGAGGGAAACAACTTGCTCTTACTGCAAGTCCCCTCATCCCATTAGAGTCTGCCCACAATTTAAGCGAATTTCGGTACCGAACCGAGTACAATTCGCAAACCAAACCAAGCTGTGCAAAAACTGCCTTGGTAATACCCATAGCACTAATGAGTGTCCGAGCAAGTGGTCATGTACACATTGCCAACAACGGCATCACTCCCTGCTGCACATGAATCCCAAACCACAATCTCGACACTCCAGTGTGCGAGTAAATGAAACCGCCGCACAACACACTACTGCCCAGTCGACACCTCCCGCTCGACAAGCGCAGTCAAGCTCCGATTCCAGCGAGCAACCGTGCTGTTCCAAACAAGCACAAATACAATCATTGCATACCGACAATGATAGCAAAATTCTCCTTCCAACTGCCATGGTCGCAGTTGAACACGAGGGGGAATTGTTTCAACTAGGAGCCTTGATTGATCAAGGCTCACAAAGAACTTTCATTTCCTCGAAAGTTCAAAAACGATTGAAACTACCATTAGAACATTCCAAGTTCGAAATTTCCGGCATGGGTGTGCATNCAAAACGATTGAAACTACCATTCGAACATTCCATGTTCGAAATTTCCGGCATGGGTGGGCATGTAGTACAAAGCTCCTCAAAGCTTTGTCCACTCACATTGGTTGCACCCAAATCCATGCAACGGATAAACACACAGGCTATCGTGTTACCTCAGCTCACGAGGCACATGCCTACGTTCACCATTAGCCGTGAAAACTGGCAGCGATTCAAGATCCTTGAACTTGCTGACCCAAGCTGTCACTTACCAGCTCAAACTGATATGGTAATCGGCAGCGATATACTTTCGCAAATCCTGCTGCAAGGTATAAAAAAGATTTGCAAAACTATACTTGCGCAAAAAAAAAATATTTGGCTGGATTCTCAGAGGTCCAATAACCGAAAATGTGGTGTCATTCTCGACACAAGTAGAAGAGTGCTCGAAT